AAAATGTAGTTGAAATAGCAGTTTCATTAAAAGTCTCCCATTGACATACCACTTAAAATAAAAACTAAACTCTTTAAAACAGGCTACAAAGCTTTATATGCTTTGGCTCCTCTCTCCACACACTCTCATCTACAACATCCATTACCTCTTTGATCTCAGATGTCATTTTGCATTCCTCTCTCTGCTCTATGTTTCTAGCTGTTCCTGAAAGGCTGAACACAAATTCCAATTTAGGGGCTTTGCTTGACTGTAATGCATTGTTCTGTTTGGAATACTTACAATATAACAGGTATCCTCACCTCCTTCAAGTCTGTTCTTCAATCTCACCTTTCCATTAAGGCTTATCCTGAGAACCCACTTAATGCTTTTTAGCCTTACCTACCCTGGTCTTTTCATTCTCAATATGTTTTATTATGCTCTATCTTGTTTTCTTTTGGAATGAATTTAATACCTACTAACATGCATTATTCTTTACTAAGGTATTATGATTCTTGCTTATTGTTGTCTCCTATTACAATGTATCACCACTCATCTGTCAGTTTGTCTTATTGTGGTGGCTTGCATGTTGCTATGATGCTGTGTCCCTAATATTTCAAATATCAGTAGGGTCACCCCTGGTGGACAGGTTCAGTAGAGGTTCAAGATGAAAACAGACTAGGAAGAAGCATATGGCAGTTCCACTTCTGGAAAATACATACATACACACACACACACACACACACACATATGTATATGATGCTGTGTCCCTAATATTTCAAATATCAGTAGGGTCACCCCTGGTGGACAGGTTCAGTAGAGGTTCAAGATGAAGACAGACTAGGAAGAAGCATATGGCAGTTCCACTTCTGGAAAATACATACACACACACACACACACACACACATATGTATATGTTACTGAACACCTTATGAATATCAGGGAAACATTGTCTAATATAGTACTGGAAGATGAGCCCCTCAGCAGTTTGGAAAGCACACAAAATACAACTAGGAAACAGATGCCTCCTCCAAGTAGAGGAAACCTTAGCGACAAGGATGGAATAAAGCTTTCTGGACCTTCATTTGATGATGTAGCATGACTCAAAATAAGAAGAAACAGCTGTAAACATCAACTAATAATTGGAACATGGAATGCATGTAGTATAAATCTAGAAAAATCGTAAGTTATAAAAAATGAAAAGGAAATAAAGAACTATATCCAAGGCATTAGTGAAGTGAATTGGACTGATAACTGACAAAATAAAGTATTATAATGAAATGTTCAATGACCTGGAGTTGGAAAATAAAATGAAATAAAATGCTTAGCATTTCTAAAGCTGAAGGAATGGAAGTAAAAATTCAAGCCTCAAGTTGCAATACTGAAGGATTCTATGGGCAAAATGCTGAACGATGCAGGAAACATCAACAGAAAATAGAAGGAAGACACACGCACTGTACCAAAAATAATCGGCCTATGTTCAACCATTTCAAGAGGTAGCATACAATCAAGATTCAGTGGTATTGAAGGAAGAAGTCCAAGCTGCACTGAAGGCATTTGGCAAAAAGCAAAGCTGCAAGAATTGCAGGAATGCCTACTAAGATGCTTCAACAAACAGTTGCAGCTCTATATGCACTCACTTATTTACCCCCAAGAAATTTGGAGGACAGATACCTGGCCAGCTGATGGAAAGACACCAATGGTTGTTCCCATTCCAAAGAAAGGTGTTCTAATAGAATGTGCAAATATCAAACCATATCATTAATGCCATACACATTTCCTGAATATGGTACAAAAATAGTTGCAGCAGTACATTGATAGGGACTGGCCAGAAATTCAAGCTGAATTCAGAAAAGGATGTGGAACAAGTGATAACAATGCCAGTATCAGATGGGTATTGCCTGAAAGCAAAGAATACCAAAAATATGTTTACCTGGGTTATATTGACTATGCAAAACTTTCGACTATGTGAAACCTAACAAATTATGAATAACATTACAAAGAATGGAAATTGAAGAACATTTAGTTACGCTCATGAAGAACCTATAGATAGACCAAGAGACAGCCATTTGAACAGAACAAGGGTTTAAAATCAAGAAGAGTGTGTGTCAGTTTTTTTATCCTCTCACCTCACTTATTCATCTATATGCTGAGCAAATAATTCAAGAAGGTGGACTATATGAAGAATAGGGTATCAGCATTGTAGGAGGATTTATTAATAACCTAAAAAATGCAGATGAAACAACCTTTCTTACTGAAAGTGAAGATGAGTTGAAGGTCTTACTGGTGAAGATAAAAGACTACAGTCTTCAGTATGGATTATGCCTTAGCATAAAGAAAATCCTCACATTTGGACCAATAAGCCACTTCATGATAAATGGAAAAAGATTGAAGTTGTCAGAGATTTCATTTTCCTTGGATACACAATCAACATTCACGGAAGCAGCAGTCAAGACATCAGACATCATATTGCACTGGGCAAATTTACTGCAAAAGACCTCTTCAAATTGTTGAAGAGCTAAGATGTAACTTTGAAGACTAAGGTGGGCCTAACCCAAGCCATGGTGTTCTCAATTGTCTCATGTGCACGTGAAAGCTGAACAATGAATAAGGAAGACTGAAGAAGAGTTAATGTTTTTGAGTTGTGGTGTTGGCGAAGAATACTTAAAGTACCATGGACTGCCAAAGAAGGAACAAATCTGTCCTGAAAGGATTGCAGCCACAATTCTCCTTGGAAGAGAGAATGGCCCAACTTCATCTTACCTGCTTTGGTCATATTGTCAGAAAGGACCAATCTCTGGAGAAGGATATCATGCTTGGTAAAGTGAAGGGTCTGCAAAAAAGGGAAAACCTTCCATGAGATGGATGTATACAGTGGCTGCAAAGATAGGCTCAAACATAGCAAAGATTGTGAGGATAGTGCAGGACCATGCAGTATTTCATTGTGTTGTACATAGGGGCAATATGAGTCAGAGCTGACATGATAGCACCTAAAAACAACAACATAAGTGGGAATAGCACATAGCAATTTCAGTATGTGAGATGAGAGAAAAACAAGTAATGCTGTGGTGGGGGAACATGATTGTATCCATACAATTTCATTTTTTAAAACAGAGATATGAGCAAATAGGGCAAAATGTTAACATTGATGATGATTGGTACATAAATATTTGCTATTGAAAATATTTTACTTTTAATATTTTAAAATTATGCTATTATATATTTTATACTTCATAGAGTGAGATAGATATTAACTTTGAAATGTAATATGTAAAATAAAACAAGTAGGACTTGTGTACAGTTTTCTGTATGTCATCTGCTGTGTTTTTATCTCCCTTAAAGTTGATGTGCCATAAATGAAAACTGAAGTTCTCGTGGAACTTTACTTAAACCATTGGTCTGCTAACCAAAAGGTTGGATGTTCAAATCAACCAGCACCTATATGGGAGAAAGATAAGACAGTCTACTTTTGTAGAGATTTACAGCCTTGAAAACCATATGGAGCAATTATAATCTGTCTTATTGGGTCACTGCGAGTCAGAATCAAATTGGTAACAGTGGGTTTGTTTCTGTTTTTGTTTCATTTAGCAGTAAATGAAAGATATAAACTAACACATTCAGGAAATATAAATTTTTGTTTATAGTTTAGCTAACTTTTATATTTGCTTGAATTGTCGCAAATAGAATGACATATCTGATGCTGTCTCTAAATGTGAGCTACTTCAAACAGATTTTTTTAATTGCTGTGGAAAATATTTGTAAATCTAACTGATATGTTTTACATTATATAACACATTTCTCTATGTTGCTATTTCAAAATTTTTTTTCCTGAAAATAAAATTTATAGAAAGGCGTAAACATTAGATCAAATCAGTGAGATACAAATGAAAAATATGTTTCTGATATAAAATTTATCATCTTTGTAATTTTCTCCTGATATGAGCACCAGCCACTCCTCGGAAGGAAGGTTGGGCAATCCTACTTCCGTAGTGATACTGCCTCGGAAACCCAAGGAGGGGTCGCTATGAGTCGGGGCCGACTCGAAGGCACATAACAACAACAACATGAGTGCTGCCACCTAGTGGGATATTTTAGGAAAAAACAATCCAAACCAAACTCACTGCCACTGAGTTGAATCCGACTCAGAGTGACCCCTCTTTGGGTTTCTGAGGCAGTATCACTACGGAAGTAGATTGCCCAACCTTCCTTCCGAGGAGTGGCTGGTGGGTTTGAACTACCAGCCTTCTGGTTAGCAGTCAAGTGCCTTAGGCATCATGCTACCAGAACACAGACACTTTCATTAAAAATTTGACTTTGATTAGCTTAAAAAAAGAGGCTATGTCAAACATGTCTTTGTTTTGTGTGCCCCTAGAAAGTTTTGAATTATAAAAAGATATGCCAGTTGTAAAAGGAACTGTTTTATCTTTAAATAAATAGCTCAGCATATAGCTTAGCTAGTGATCTGTTTTGTTGACGATCTGATGTAAGTTCTACTATATTCTAATTTGCACAAGTTAATTTATTTGAGCTTTGGTGCCATCTTGCTTAATTGTCACATAATAGTAAAGCACATTTTGGTGTGGTTTTCTAAAAATCAAATGAGCTGTGGTACATTAAAAATCTGTCCTTGGCAGACACTCAAATAATAGGAAGTATTATTCCGAATGGGGCATTAATGGCTCAATTTTAGAATTCTTCTTTCTAGCAGGAGCCCCAAGTTCAATTCCTTACCAATGCACCTTATGCACAGACTCCACCTGTATGTTAGGTGAGGCTTGTGTGTTGCTTTGATGCTGAGCAGGTTTCAGTGGACGTTCCAGACTAAGATAGACTAGGAAGAAAGGCTTGGTGATCACTTCTTAAAATCAGCCAATGAATACCCAACCAATTATGGGATTGGTGCAAGACTAGGCAGAATTTTGTACATTATACATGGGGTCATCATGAGCCAGGGACCAACTTTATAGCAGCTAACAACAACAATTATTACGAGTAAATGTATAATTTGTGGTCTTTTTCTGCAGTCTTCACTTTATTGTTTTTGACACTGAGATGGCTCACGATATCCTCAAGGTCTGGGATGGTCCAGTAGACAGCAACATCCTGCTAAAAGAGTGGAGTGGTTCTGCCCTTCCTGAGGATATCCACAGCACCTTCAACTCGCTCACACTACAGTTTGACAGTGACTTTTTCATCAGCAAATCAGGCTTCTCCATTCAGTTCTCAAGTAAGTGGAACAATCTTCTTCCTATTTATCTGAATACATAATTTGCCCATTAAGACTGAGTAGTATTTGCACTCTTAAGTCTCTCAGGAAAGGATGAAATTCATGTTGAGTGTAATTTGAAACTTTAAAAGTATGTTATCAAGAGAACATCTTCTCTTATCAAATTCTGTTATTAATCAGAGAGGGATAGGTAATGAATCTCTCTGTGTTTGTAAGAAAAGCTATTACTTTGAAGGGTTCAATTAGTGAATACCTAAACTAGGGTCCATGTAGGTCTTTATATGAATGTAAGGTTTTATCTTTGGTGCTTGCTTTGGTGCTTACTCTGAGTACCCTAATTACCCTAGTTTTACCCTAAATTTCCTCAGTTTAATGTGTTTTACTCTCTATGCAATAGAATATTCTTGCTGTTTGCCTGTTAATCAGCCTCTTTTAGATTCTCTACTTTCAATTTCCCTGCTTAGAAGTGTCCTATATTTTTTCCCCCTTCTTTGAGCTAACATTTCAAATAGTTAATGTGAGAAAGTAATAATCCCTGCTGAATTACTCCTGGGAAATCACATTTGCATATTGGAGGTATTTATCTTCCTAAGGTAGTACCCATCTTTGCTCTCTAATCAATTTTTGATTAATGGTTTCCTAAGTAAGAAGGTGTGGAGACATTTTGTGGCAGTTCAACCTTTCAGTATCCTTCAAATTGCACCATGTAGAGGTGTCATATAATTTGGTAGTACACAGAGTCAGTCATAGTCATAAAACAAGTAGAATTTGCACATAAACACATTCAGACTCAATTTATCTCTTGGCAGGTCACTGGTGAGCCATATTTAGGATTTACATAAGAAAATTGACTTAAGTCAATTTAATGCTTTAAAAGGTTGCTAATAAAATTGAAGTTATACTCTGTACAATGTCTTAGCTCTGATTTCACTGTGGTTTGAGGCAGTAATTTGCAAACATGTGTCTTTATAATTCTTTTCTGTAGTTAAATTTTTTGCTGTCTTATGGTAAAAATAGAAGGTAGCCTACCTTGGAAGAAATGTCTTTTATTCCCATATTATTTTTTTCTCTTTTATAAGACAAAAATGTTCTTTCTCAAGTAAAATGGTGGTGAGAATAGCTATTAGAGTTGTTGTTTACTCACTTTGGTTGGAAAATTAAAATATTGGTAAGGCTAGGAAGTTATGTTTGTTTTTCTCTCCTACCTTGCTCAGTCTGCTGACTTGCTTCCTTGTCTCCCCTTAAGAAAAATTCTCATGGCTGTCTAAGAACCAGTTTTCTTTCTATGCTTCTTCATTTTTCTGTTTACAAACTGAGCATCTTTTATGTTTAGTGAGTTAGTTGTTTGAGGATCATTGGCATTGCTCTTCTCCACATGTAATTAATTAATACATTGATGATTGGCATTTGATAAATATGGACACATCTATAAGAGGCCCTATAGGACAGAAACTTGCTTACTTTTATTTAACTTGGACTTTTCTGAACATACTAGTTTGAGACATAGGAAAGTGTCACTTTTATAAATAAAAAAATATTGAATGTTGGAAATTTATCTTATTATTCAACATAATACTGGAAAATATTCCCCACTTCCCATTACACGTTAATACATACTTTTGTAAATGTCATTTTAAGGAAAAAAATGTAATATTCATTGCAAGTGAGTTTTTTTTTTAAACCTGGTTTCCATAATATTATGTTTAAAACACTACAGAAAGTCAAAAAGAATATATATAAAATCTCTAAAGCATAATTTAGAAATATATGGCCCGGACTACAACCAAGAAAATTTGGGTTCCTATCTTGACCTTTACTGATTTAAGAATAATCTTATATCTCTGAGCTTATAAAGATATTGCACAAATTTCTAAGGACATATCATTTGCAAATTTCCTCAGTTTAATGTATTATGGTTTTAAATCAAAAAAGGGCATGTTTCAAGGTTGCATCGTTTCACTATATTTATTTAATCTGTATGCTGAGCAAATAATTCAAGAAACTGGACTATCTAAAGAAGAATATGTCATCAGGATTGGAGGAAGACTCATTAATAACCTGTGGTTTATACATGACACAACCTTGTCTGCTAAAAGTGAAGGTCACTTGAAGAACTTACTGATGAAGATCAAAAACTAGAGCCTTCAGCATGGATTACACTTCAACATAAAGAAAACAAAACTCCTCACAACTGGACCAATAAGCAACATCAGAATAAATGGAGAAAAGACTGATGTTATCAAGAATTTCATCTTACTTGAATCCACATTCAAGAACTATGGAAGAAGCAGTGAAGAAATCCAACAACATATTGCATTGGGCAAATCTGCAGAAAAGAATTCTTTAAAGTGTTAAAAAGCAAAGATGTCACTTTGAGATGCACCTGACCTGAGCCTTGGTATTTTCAATCAACTCATATGAATGTGAAAGCTGGACAATGAATAAGGACAGTCAAAGAAGAATTGATGCCTTTGGATTATAGTGTGTGCAAAGAACACTGAATATACCATGTGCTGCTAGAAGAATGAGCATATTTCTTTTGGAAGTACAGCTGGAATGCACCTTAGCAAGGATGATGAGCCTTCTTTCATGTACTTTGGACATGGCATCAAGAAAGTCTAGTCCCTAGAGAAGTATATACTGCTTAATAAAGTAGAAGGTCAATGAAAAAGAGGAAGACCACTAAGGAGACGAAATGACACAGTGGCTGCAACAATGGGCTCAAACATCACAACAATTGTGAGGAAGGCTCAAGTATAGGCAGAATTTCATTCCATTGTACATAAGGTTTCTGTGAGTCGGAACTGACTCCATGGCACCTAACAGCAACAAAAGTTTCTATTTTCTCTTTGCTACTTTAGATATCCTCTCTTCTTCTATAATCTAGTCTGTGAATTTAAGGGCTGATCTATATAGATATGCTAAAGATAGCATATCTTTATATAGCCTGACAAAAGCCATGAAATTTCCAATTGCCTTGTATGCATGTGAGAGCTGGACAATGAATAAGGAAGA